AATTGCTTGGTGGTGGAGAGCAATTCTTCGTTGTGCTCCTGATTCTTTTCCAGCTGTTCCTCGAATTCTTCTCGTTTTCTTTTCCAGTGTTCCTCTTTCTCACTAGCTTCGGTTACGGCATCTCGCAGGGCTTGCTCTTTGGAAGCTAATTCGGCCGTTAGCTGTAAAAACACCTTCAACATGGTAGCTCACATCCTTGACTCTGGTAGCGAGCAAGGTGTTAATCGAAGCCGTAGTTAGGCAGCTAAGTTTTTATCAAGCAACTACCTCCAACAAAAAGTACCACTATCCGAAACCCGATTGCAGTCCTTAATTCAAATGATAAATTTAAAACCACCTTCTCCACTTGCTGTTTGAAGGACAGTATGAGAGCTTCTTTATCATCGAGCTGAGAACGCAAATCAGATTCAGAGTCCGTCACAGCCAACCGTCGAGCCTCGCTCTGAGACAACTCCGCCTCCTGCAATAATCATAACAATTGAACACTATACAGTTTTAAATATCCTAACTTAAATACCAATTTCCTAGCTTTCGCTTCAGCTTCTGCTAAATGGTTGACCGACTCTTCTATTTTCCGACGACTTTCTTCAATTTGATGTTCTTTTTCGCGAAGAAGACGGTTTCTATCGGATAGTTGACTGGACAACTGAAATAATTGATAAATTACAAAAATAACAGTCCATAGGCATCGAGCTTCAAGTAGAAGACATTTTCGAGCATACGTATTTTGAATGTATTGGATAATTTGGATTAGAATCGGAAGTACACCACTGTGCGGAATACCTCTTCTATTTGTTTGCGTGCCTCTGAGACGTTTGCATCTTTTGCAAGGATGATGTCTTTGAGCTTTTGTATTCGCTCGCTCGCCAGCCGTCGGTCATCTTCGATCTCTTTCTCCATCTCAACGAAACGTTCCGCCTGAGAAATAAATATGAATGCAATAATCAATAATAAAAAGGATGTTGCTGGAAGGTGAGTGAAACTAGGTGTTGCGAAAAATGTGCTAGCTGTAGCTCGTGCACTCATGAATTAGGTATATCAACCAAACTCCCAGAATATGACTTCAAATAATTGTTTTCCAACAGTCAAAGAATTGAACTCCTAGAAAAATGAAAAAGCAGCACCGACTCGAAATGCTGTGAGCAAGAAAAATCATCAAAGATGCAAACAAAGTGAGAAGTGGCCCAACAACCGCTTAATCTGTCCTTGAAAGATATACGCTCACCTTTCGATTGACATCATCTTCGGCTTCTCTCAAGCGTCGCTCAAGTGTTTCCTTTTGATGCTCGATTTTCTTCAGTTTCTCCTCGACAACTTTCTTCTCTTCTCGGTGCTGCTTCTCGAGCTCCGTGACTTTGACCACTAAGCCTTCCTTCTTGAAAAAAAAAACTTTAAAAAAATCAACAAAAAAAAGAAAAGATGTGGAAAATGTTTGCTACAAAGATACAAGAAGTTTTCTAACTTACAAAGAACTTGATCTCTCAATAAAAAAGGAAAAGCTCATCAACAGAGACAATGAAAAGGAATATATAGGAGACCGACTTCTTCCTTGAACGACGTCGTGAGCTGGTTGATTTCTTCTTGAAGTTTCCGATTTTCTTCTTTCAACTGCTCAATAGCCATCTTCGACCCATCCTCACCTTGCGAAATCTGAAATTTAATAAATTAGATTAGAAAGATCGTAGACGGTATGACTAGACTAATGAAACAGAATGCAATAAAAAGTTTAGCAGTCAAATCTGCCCACCTTATTAACCAGTTCTCTCGAATTTTCCTGCAGAGTCAATAACTGCTTCGCTAATGTTTCAGATTCAGCCGCTCTTGTTTCACATTGGCTCATTAGCTTCTCTAATTCGGTCTGGGCTCTAACAAGATCTTCACGCAACGAGAATAGTTCTTGATCTTTAGAGGTGATAATCGAATTCTGCAAATAGAGATTTCGGAGTAGGAGCGACCGCAACTTCGCTACGACTCCTGGATGATGGAGATCTTTTTTTGCTTTCTAACAAGGGAAGGATCCCAAGTCGAAGTGGCCATTTGAAATGAGATCTATACTGCTAGACGTGTTTTTTGATGCTGATTTCAAATCTTCATTCAAAATCTGCCAAACGAATCTCTGAACGAAGTTATGGAGGTGGTTCCGGAGAGCGTTCAACGGGGAAAGCACAAAAGCCATGGTTGCCGGCAGTCCAGCAGTGGCGGCTTGGAGTGGAGGTAAGCGTGAGGCTTCATAGGCATGGGACCAAGGATCGGGTTTGATAGGCGCCGGCGTTTTTGCTTGCAGGACTTTTTCCTCCAGGTTGTAAAAAGCTTTTATGTTGGTTTTACCGCCTTCAGCGATTTTCTAGTTGCTGGAGGCGAGTCAGTTCCTACTTAAACCGTCTTCCACTGCTATTCATTAGTTTTTAAAAAAGGTGGGGGTTGCGGTCAGCTTTCAAAGAAGGTAAGGTTTGCCATGTGGCAAATCCGGCAAAGTATGGTATATATGNCCCGGTGACCATGGCTTTTGTGCTTTCCCCTGTTGAGCGTTCCCCGGAGACCACCTCCATAACTTCGTTCAGAGAATCGTTTGGCAGACTTTGAATGCAGATTTGAAATCAGCATCAAAAAATACGCCTAGCAGTATAGGTCCCATTTCAAATGGCCACTTCGACTTGGGATCCTTCCCTTGTAAGGAAATGAAAACAGAACATACCTTCTCATCTATCAACTTCCTTTCGTGCTCAAGCAGTGACCCAAGAGATGAGAGTTCGTTAGTGAGATCCATGTTTGCCAGCTCCAGCTGTAATAACTCCGAAGCATTATTATTGGGATAATAAGTTATCAGAGCCGATTTTTACTAGGACATCATGAGTTTGTACGACAGTAACTGTTTGCAAGAGAAAACAAAAATGAACCATAAGGAATATTCTACGAAACAATAGAAGTAAAATCACGTGAGTGAAACACTTTGCTTAGTGGTACCAATACATTAGATAAAAACGAATTCTTACACTTCTTATGCTATTCGACTGCAAATCATTCTTCTCTTCAAAGTTGGACATTTCTGTTTCATACCGTTTCTTCTCTTCTATCACCTATAAAAAAGATGTCAGACACCTATAAAAAAGATGGCAGATGTTGAAGAAACAATATAGGTGAAAGAATCTCCGGAAGTAATTTATTAATAGTTCTTAAATTAGGTGGACATCTGCCCAGCTTAAACTCAATGAATATCACCGATCACGGTTAAACAATAGCAAAGTCTCAGAAATGAACGGAAGTTTGCTCAGGTTCGCCTGAGACTAAGATAACGAGCTCCACAACAGGTAATTCAGTGAAACTCATTACGCAAACAATGCAAACTGGTGCCGCAGCAAACAAGATAACGTCGGAATTTTTCATATCAAGGAACTACTAATAAAATCAGATAAAACAGCGTGAGGGCGTTGACTGTGCTACCTTTCCATTTCCCATGTTGGTGACAAGTATTAATTATCATTCATCTTTTATCCTTCTAAAAACTCCAAAAATTTTCAACATATCCATCATTTGTCGAGTTTACCGGACAACTCAGTTCAGTAACGTTGGTCTAACTCAAGATGACCCACCTGCTCCAACTTATCGCTCAGTTGCGTCAACTTTTTCAGGTTGCTCTCATTCATTGCGTGAGAATCATCAATTTCACGAGCGCTGACCCGCACAGTTTCTTCTAGCTGAGCGATTTTCTCACGGCACGAGGCGAGTTCGGCTAAGTTCGCTTCCACCCTTGAAAATATCAAAACTGACGATATAAGTATATGAGCCGTTCTGGTAATATTACACAAATAAATGGTTCTGTGGAGGGGAATAGGAGAGCGGGGCAAATTATTCCGCTCACTTTCCATGTAGTTCCTCAATCCGTTTGCCTTTCTGCGAAGAATCACTTTTCGCATCTTCCAAATCTTTCTGACATGTGAGAAGAATTTGACGAGTATCCTCAAGCTCAGAAGTCAGAGATCGAACCAATTCGGAAGACCTTAACAAGCGAGGTTACGAAATGCGCCAGAAATACCCCTCAAAGAGCATATGTTCGAAACCCAAACCGCCACCTATACATGTTCATCAAAACTTGTAGTAGTAATACTTACTCCTTTGAGTGCGTGCCCGTTTCTTGGAGTTGTTTCTGCAGGTTCTCAATCACACACCGTTGTCTAAATATAAAAGAACCGATGCCTTTTTTTTATCAAAATGAATGTAGAACCGGCGTACTTTTCCCTCTCCATGTTCAACAGCCGAATAGAATTGAGGTGTTCGCTGATCTCAACGTCTTTGTGTTGCGATATTTCATCCATCAGTTTTTGAGCATGAACTAATTCAGTTCGCAGCACAGCAACATCATCTTCACTAGGTCTGAAAACAAAACGTAGAAAAATGATCAGTTAAGTAGAAAGAATCGTACCTTTGATTCAACGCCTTATTCAGGACATCTATTTCCTTCTCCAGCTTCTCATTGTCGAATCGAAATACAGCTACTTCTTTTTTCAGGACCTCCTTTTCGACCTAGAAGTAGTGTATATTCCAATGCAACCTCACAACAAATATTGACATAGTGTTTTTTGATGAATTGAACAGCTGACCATTAATGTTGACATAACTAAATATCAACGTGATATAGGGCAAATAGACCCATGGAAATGACCAGTGAAAAAACTGATGGCGAAACCTTTTGTAAGCCTCATGCAACCGTTTCTGGCCAATATTTAGCATTTTTGTTACAAGATCCTGCATAGACTCAATATAAGATTGAGCACATCAAATCGGACATCCATTTATTGCTTTAAGATGCATGCATAAAGTAGATATGACTGAATCACCTTATTGCTTTCATTTTCATCTGTCAACGTACGAATTTGTGCACTGAGCTGCTTGAGTTTAGCCATGATTTCTGCCCTTTCTTGTTGACCGTTTTCAGCAAATCTCTTCAGCTGGCCATTCTCCTTCTCAAATTCGAGCATCCGCTGTGTTACTGAAATGCCACAGTAACCGAAACTGATCGCATAAGGATGTTTATGGTCTGAATCTTCTGCTCTACCAATGAAAGATCGAACTGATTTGGAAATTAAGAGAAATCAAAGAGAAAGGAAGGAAGACGGGCAATGCAAACTAGTTTATAACCGGTACTTGTATTCAGTATCAGTACAAGCGGCAAACTTGGAGAATCATACTTGTTTTCCAGAAAAAAGTAGCTGCCAATGGTCTCGTCTTCTACTGATTTGATTGATCGGTACAGTATCTATCTTTGCCAAGTAACTTTAACCCAATGCTGGAAAGTACGGGGAGATTACGGTAATCGGCGCCATGAAATGCATCAAAACGAAAACGAAGGGACTAAAAATGGATGGCATCTAAACTGTGATAAAAATGAATTATTTTTTGAGAAAAAAGAGAAAAGATGGACGACGGTCCTGATCAAGGTTCTCTTCAATATGTAAGGAAGAAAAAGAAGGAGTGTGTAAAAGAAGAGGGTAGAAGTTCAACTAACCCATACTCTTGCCGGCTTCAAGCACTTGAATTTGTTGCATCAAATATGGTACTTCTCCTTGGGGAACATCTGTTGCTTGTGCAACAACTGACTGAATGCGATCTAACTCCTCCTATAAAGACTTTGCCGGTGATGCTGCAGAGATTTACTTGCCTTCTGAGAAAGTGTACATAAACTATACCTTTAGCTTCTCGGCATAAATGTGCTCTTCGTTCACTTGAATACGTAACTCTTCTATTTCTTTGTCTTTTGAGGGAAACGATGCAGTTGAATTGGTTCCTAAAAATTCTTATAAAGGGATTAAGCAATCGATGTATTCAATCTAAGTAAGAAGTAACGAAGTAACATCTGCAGCCCAAGACGGCGTCTTGTTGGCGACGTTGAGATTGTTAAAAAAAAATAAGAGTGTACCTGGAGAATGAAGCGGTATTGAATTCTCAAAGTTTGGATTCGGTATCAAAGAGTTCTCCTGAAAATCTTTTGTGTAAAGACTATCGAAACATCAAAGAACTACTGAAGCGATTATCTTTTTTTTTTATTGGTTTATCTAGTGGTCCCTATTTTATTGATGACAAGCTAACGGCAAAAATGGTTAGAGAGTTGAAGCAGATACAGATCATCACGGAGAAAAAGCAAGAGAACCCAAAAATTCGAAAATACCAGTCTTACTTACTTTGTTATGTGCCTCCTCGAAGTGTCCCGATAGCAATTCAGGAGAGTTGAACGTAGTCATACATATAGGACAGAGGAACCCTTCAATTTCATCATCCACTTCGTTCTGATTTGTATCAGAATTCGGGAAAAATGGAGTTCCATCACGGGAATCACGGCCGGCTCCAGGCGAAAGCACTCCGGGCAACTATAAAGAGACTGACAAGTCAAGATAAAGTACACATCTTGAAAAATCTTGCTGCTCTCATATTTTACAATTGTTTTCTTAAGTTCCAAACGCGACATCATCAAATAATCATAAGTAGGGGCGTAGCACCATACCGACACTACCAATGAGTAATCCATGTGGCACCCTCCGTTCATCTCCATTTTGTGGGTGAAAATGCGTAATGCGACACAATATTGATGGGACAATCATCGCTTTGGGTAATTCATTAGAAAAAATCCCAGTTACATCGCCTCCACATCATATGATGGACTGGGAATGGCAGTTGGGAAGTCTCCGAAAACGTCTTAATGAGTGTAATAACATTAAAGCGTCGATCAAACCTCTCACCAATGAGGAAAAGTCACGATGACACAGTAAGTAAGGTCGACGGTAAATCTTTTTCAAGGACGATCGTGAATGCGAAGGTAAATACGTCAACTAATCCAACGAAAAAGAAAAAGGCAACTGATGATCGAAACCATCATAAAACATACGTCGTTTGCCACCTGGCTGACTTGCGCTTTCAAACGCCGCAACATTATAAACAGCTACGGTTCAACAACGTCCAGCGAAACCAAGGCTATTAAAGCTCAGCGTGGTTTGGTATACCTGTAATATCGAATTCATGGCTGCAATGCTACCCAACAAAACGTTGTCAAAAAATCAAGAAAGTCATGACAAATAATCGCCACTGATTTGTTTATCACTTGACAACAACAAAAAAGTAAGTGCATTCCTAAGAGCATGAGAAGTACCCTAAGTTGGAGAATATTTGAAGAAGGAAGTTCACTCAGTGAGAAGCTATAAACTATTCTCGCATATTCTGACGGAAGGTCAATCAATGGTGATAAAGCTTAAACAACTCCCCAATAAACATGCTGTCAGAAAATGCCGTAAAATTTCACGTGCATGGTGCAATCGCACTACTTGTCCTGCAGCTATCGAGCTTATTTCACAAACTCATGCCGATAAGGTAGGATAGTGCGGATACAAAAGTATCAGGTCATGGACAGCCAATCAAGCCAGGACCTACGGTGCCACGGAATTTGCGGATTTCATAAAGTAACAGCTAAGGGCGTACACAACATAAGTTTATGACAGGCGTCTAGAGCACTTACAATTAGGCGTGGTAGAGTTCTTTGTGATTTTACCAATTGTTTAGCCCGTAATACATCACTGTACACCCGCAGCCTACTATTTGAGTGAGACTCTGAGCTACTTGGGAAATAGAGTTACTTGGCTTGGACTGGCTCGACGCCAAGGTAAAGGTATGTACTAAAACGAAAATTCAGTCCGGCACTCGGCTCTTACAGCAACTCCCTGGCTTACCCCATCACTTACCCCGTGTCCTTGCCCAAAGCCTTTTCTCGACGCGTCGTATATATGACGGGTAAAAATTTGCGTGTTAACACGTGCCGGATTACTGTAAGAGCAGAGTGCCGGCCTGAATTTTCGTTCCTGTAAGGTATGTATGTCACGGCAATGTTACGGCAGCAATTGCGGCCCCGTATGGCTGATCAATATTGTGATATAACAGTGTTAAGTCTGCTCATGTATAACAGTTCAATGTAGAATAGAAAGTTTTTGGGATGATGCATTCATATAACCAGTAGAAGTCTTCGATCTACTTTGCCATAACCATTTGAAAACCTTTATTTCTTCAAAATTATTGGAATCACATTTAAATTAGAGGTTTATACAAACAATTTAAACAATAGAGATCACAGTATTACAATTTCGTCTCCAAAACCGTCCTTTCGTACGCAGTCGTAGCCGAATCTCCACCTGGAGAGACCAAGCGAGTCCTCTGTTACGAAGGTCGCATATACTGAATCGCT